AGCCCACAGCAGCGTCTAGAACACGGCAGACGCCTCAGAAGTTTGGTGGATGAATGAGTGACTCGATGAAATAGCTCTGTCCATAAAAATCACTCCAGTGAAGGAAAGTGCGTCAGAGGGTGCTTTGGTTTGAAACTTCATCGTCATTTTGGACTTCTCCCTCCACCTTACCTCTCTACATTCAACCAAATACTGGTAGACCAAAGAGATATGTGACTGCCGCAGAGAAACAGTAAATGAAAATAAGAATTCCTTTAAACGTAAGAAAAAAGAGGATGGTGTCAAATATTCTTTTCCTGTTCTCTTAGATTTTTGTGGTTTCTTATGACAGAACATTAGAAATCTGGCTTGAAGGCCTAACTTTTTTTCCCTGGTCAGAATGCTATTACCTTTCTCTACAACAACTTACTCACCTTTTAATCTAGCATCACCCCCAAAGGCACCACAGCCCCAGTTTCCTGTGGCCACTGCAGAAAGATTCTCTGAAGAAACTCCAGGACGGAGAAATCCACAGTAAGCCTGCAGGATAAAAGAAATATCAAGCACACAACTGACGAGACACTAGCAGTATTGCTGACTGATGTGCTAGGATCAGGACCTATTATCAAGCTTATGTTCTTTCTTTCTTTTTTTCTTAGGGGCCAAAGAGAGGGAAAAACAGAGAGAGAGAAAAGCCTGGGATTATACAAGGAAGAGAGTAAGAAATGATGGATTCAAATATTTGTTTTGATGCTGGGCAAATCAAATCCCTTAAGCCAACACAGGTCTCAGTTTCTTTTTCTAATTCAAGCAAATAGAAATGGAAATATCAGAGATATTTTCAAGATTCTCTAGTTTCACAGCTCTGTTTTAAGCTAGAATATGAAAAAATTTGCCAATAGCCTGAGAAAAGTACAATATACCACAAGGATGCTGGCTGGCTAAGTATTAATGATTTTGTATAAAAGAGGCCTACTGTTTAAGGTCCCAGAGTTCCTGATTTCTGTTTCTTTGCTGTCAGCTTAGGTGGTCTTTCTGCATCTGAAAGGTTCTTAGTTTCCTGAAACTATCAGACTATGTTAAAAGTTTTAATGTAATAGCAAAGCGAATCTCCCCCAGGTTCTCTTAAACAAAGCCTAAAATATAGCTTATATGTAAGAGTAAATAAAATTAAGGGCTGGCCCCATGGCTCACTGGGGAGAGTGCAGCGCTGGTAGTGCCGATGGCCAGTGAGCTCACTGGCTGAGCGTGGTGCAGACCACACCGTGCTGAGGGTTGCGATCCCCTTACCAGTNGTATTTGCAAACATTAATATGAAGTAAATTAAATTTAATGTTGAGTACTTTCAAGCATTCATTTAATAAAGCCACTTAAACATTGTTAAGCTTGGTCATAGACTTGAAAGGTGCAATGTCTGATTGCTCATTCTAAATAAAAATTAGACTGGTGTACAAGAAAAAAAAAAAAGTAAGCCAGATATCATAATCTGGTAAATGGCCAATAGCTTAGTTGATCAAATTTTGTGATTTTTCTACCATAAACAATAAAATGCAAGAAATGTTTATACTTCCTGGGTACCCAAAAGCCTCCTTACCTGTGTCATTCGTGCAGCTTTCCCAAGCTACACTACACAGCACCGTGTACCTCTATCAAAGCACTTGTTACTGAGCGCTGTGCCCGTCTATGCCCTTCTCTCATAGGCTGGACTGTGAATTCCAAAGCTGGGACCGCATGGCATTCAATTGTGTATCCTCATAGCCCACAGCAGCGTCTAGAACACGGCAGACGCCTCAGAAGTTTGGTGGATGAATGAGTGA